GCAACCTCCAACTCCTGGGCTCAAGCGAGTCTCCTGCCTCAGCCCCCCAAGTAGCTGGGACCACAGGCGCCCGCCACAACGCCCGGCCATTTTTTTGGTTGCAGCCATCATTGTTGTTTGGTGGGTCCAGGCTGGGGATACGAACCCGCCACCTTAGGTGTATGTGGCTGGTGCCTTAGCCGCTTGAGCCACAGGCGCTAAGCCACATTGCTTTTTTAATTCAAAGGAAGTATGGTCTTTGAGAAATGTAGGTATGCAAAATTTGGGGCTTGCTTTTGTTTGGCAGAAAAATTAAATTATACCTATGTGTATTATATGTATTATGACAAAATGGAATCATACGGTTCTTCATAAATCATTAAACCATGTCTTTGTACCTTGTTACCGTGGTAATTTAAGGCCCAACTCTGTTTTGATTTTTCTCTAAGACTGTCTTCTAAGGTTGGAAAGAGTAAGGCAGAGTTATTTCTGACTTACGTGCACTGGAAAAGCATCTTTTGATGCTTTCTTGATTATTTGGGCTTTCCTCTTACTGTAATCATATTCTGTGTGGATTTATTCACTCTTTACTGGATGCTCTGGATTCTGCCATCCAGGTATTTAGTTAGTCCTCATTTCCTGGGTCCAGGTTTTTCACTCTTGATAAAAACATCATCTGATTTTTAGAAGCCTATTCTCCACTGGGGTCTAAAAGTCTAAAATTATCGGCCCATTTACTTTTTAGATTAGTTTTCACCATTTATTTGTCTCACTAAATTGGGTAATAAGTTAACCATTATTTTAAACATTATGAGCAGAGCACTGTTCCGTGCCTCTCCTCAGGGAGCATGCAGTGTAAATGGTAGATGTTTTTATCTGCTTCTTATCCTCAAATATTAATAACTTCTCTCAGGCAGTTGGAACAATACACAGCTGTAATTGAGCGACTCACAGGGTACTTACCAGGCCATGGTTTCTGTGAAGAAATTCTTAGTAAACCATGGTTTAAATTTCTCTTCTAGATTGTCCCATACTTTTTTTGGTTTTGCCAAGTGATTTCTTTATGCTGGAAACATCACATGTCAAGTGCTGTTGGAATCCCTCCTTTCCATACAGTTTGTTAGGAGAAGTTTCATTTCTTATATCTTAACCATCTGGTCATCATAGGAATTTGACATGGTCTTGGCAGAGTAGGCTGTGATCAGGGTATCCTCCAAAAGCTTTTCTACAGCCCATAATTTCCCTGGACTTACTGTATAAGCCATCAGAGCTTTTCTAGGGCCTGTAGAGGGATTTTAAAATGATAGTGAAGGAATTGTTGAACTGGAATGTAACACTGAGCTCATGGTTCAAAATAGAAAACTGTGACTCTTTGGCATATGAGGGCAAGGCTGAGAACCCAAATCCTTTGAGTTAGGGAAGTTAACAGTGGTTGGGATCAGTTATCCAGGGTCCAAACTTCAAGGCAAGCCACACAGATCGGTAACATTGCCTTCTGACCCAGTCACCTTCTTAGTCGGCCTTGAATAAAATGCTTAACCCTTGCTTGAAGGGCCACTGCCCTGCACTCCTGAGATATTCCCGTTGTGGTCTGTGAAAGGTGTAAGCTGATGGTGCCAGAGACGAGGCCACAGAGGAAATGTTAAGGTCAGGTTTATTGAAAGGGGAGGGTGATTGGTCTGGGCAGTGCAAAGATGGCATCTGCACCTGGGGGCAGTTAGAGACCCCTTTTATATGGGGCAGTAGGGAGTGGGCAAATTCCATAGCTTGCTTGGAAAGTTAGGGTCTTTTGGCATGAACTAGCCAGATCCTTTGTGTCTTTTCTTAGGAGGAGAGGAAGAGGGAAAGAGAGGGGGTTTGTGTGTGGCTGTGGTTAGGTCCCCCTGCAGTCTGTGAAGGTCCCCACTGAAGCTGTGCAGAGTACAGACTTGGGCCATTTGTAGCAGCCTTGCTTGTACTCAGCTTCTCCACCGAACCGTGGTTTCTGTTCAGATGTCTAGAGCAGCTTCTGATGGGCAAACAGCAACACAAATGAAAATATTACCCAGCAGTGGTATAAAATCTGATGTGTGTGGAGTACTTTATACTTGTCATTCATTTTGTTCTTGTCCAAGGAAAAGGACAGAATTTGGCAAGAGCAGCTATAAAAGCAAAGGAGATGGCTTGGCACCTGTGGCTCAAGTGGCTAAGGCGCCAGCCACATACACCTAAGGTGGTGGGTTCGAATCCAGCCTGGGCCCACCAAACAACAATCATGGTTGCAACCAAAAAATAGCCAGGTGTTGCGGTGGGTGCCTGTGGTCCCAGCTACTTGGGAGGCTGAGGCAGGAGACTCGCTTGAGCCCAGGAGTTGGAGGTTGCTATGAGCTGAGATGCCATGGCACTCTACCCAGGGGGACAGCTTGAGGCTCTGTCTCAAAAAAAAGCAAAGGAGATGTCAGGGGTTCATATTCTTTACTCAGGAGGAGGAGGAGGTATGAGGGCTGAAATTGTAGTCACTGAAGTCTTTATGATAAGAGTATCTTATGTTTACATGGGCTGTAAAGTAATCCTTGACTCCTTCAAGGATTCAGACTTCAAAAAGAAGATAGTAGATAGACAGGTGGAAATTGTATGAAAAGTTATTTGGCCGAATTTTGTCTGTTTGAAATACCTTAACTCCCCTCCCTCTTTCTTAAAGCATTGATCTTTTTTTTTTTTTTTTTTTAATACTGGCTTTGATGTTGTAGAAAGGTCATGTGAAACTGAGGAACCTTTTCATGTTATGGCTTTCTAATCTCTCTTTTATTTATATATGTATTTTTTATCCTCTTTATAGTCTGGATACTCAAGAAGCTGTTCATTCACTTTGGAGCTGTGGACTTCCTGGAGAAGCGCTACCGAGTGTGGTGGGGAGTCGTGGAGAGCTTCCTGAAGGAGCGGCGAGGTGCTCTCGCCCCTTGGCCAATTGTCGGGCTTGGGAAATTCTTGTTGAAAGTTGATAGCAAGGTATTGTAGTTTAAGAGCTTGGGCTGTCTTAATGGGGTTTTTATATTTCATGGTTTGACATATTGTATCCCATGTTACATGGTGTTTGTGTTGTAACTGTTGATAGTACATTTAATATGTGCATCCAGTTCTATGATGAAATTCTAGAATGTATGGTTTACTTAGAATGGATGAGTGTTTATTTACTCTTAAAAAATGGGAGAAAAGGATCTTATGGAATACCTGATTTAACTCCCTCATTTTATTAGGGACTAAATTGAAATCCTGAGAGTTTAAGGAACCTGCCTAAAATTATATATTGGGGTAGTGACTCAGTTCATTGAATAGTTTTGGAGTAAATCCATGTGTCAGATACTGACACATTTCTCTGATCAGACAGATCTTAGAAAATCAGACAGAAGCTCTGTTTAGTGAGGAGCAATAGCAATTGATAACAATTCTGAGGTGGTGGTTAGATTCAGAGGCCTAGTGGTTAAAAAGCACCCTCTGAATCTATACTCTGGTTCCACATCTCTGTTCTGCTACTTACTAACCATGTGACCTTAGATAAATGTCTTAAGCTTTCTGTGCTGTGGTTTCTGCATCAACAAAATGGGTGTAATGCCACCTACCTCATAGAATGTTTATAAGGGCTTACTGAGTCAATACGTGTAAAATCTGTAGACCAGTGCCTGGTACGCAGTACGCTCTGTAGAAGAAATATGTACAGGATAGAGTGGTAGTGCTGAGCAAGAAGTAACTTGAAAAGGTGGTGGGAAGGGGAAGATTTTGCAGAGGAAATGATACAGGATTTTGAAGGTTAAGCAGTTGATGAGGCAGACACAGCAAGACAGCAGATGGATGGAGCAGGGCAAAGGCACAGAGGTACTGAGCCTACAGGCATTCAGATTATTTCATGTGTTTTTATTTGTTGGATTCCCAAAAAAGCTGTGGTTATCATTTCAATCATCTTGAAGGAATACTACATTCTCTTGATTTTAAAACTTGGTTGATGTGTTCTAGTCCCCCCGACCCCACCCTAGTTTTTCCTTTGTCTGGAACAATTTCCTTCTCATGCTCTCAGTGACTTTTCCTTTCTTTCCCTTTCATGCTGCTATTGCATTCTCTAATGATATTCCACTGTTCTTATCTTCTCTTTCTCACCTTATCCCCCATCTTCAAGCTCTGGCACTGGCTAAATAAGAAGGTAAATGAAAACCTGAATGTTGGTTTTTGCTATTGAATTCTGTAACATTCTCCCCCCCCTCCCAATCACCTCTCTCTGTGTTTCTGTCCATATGTTAAACTAAGTTTTTGTTTTCAAAGTTCTAATTATAAGCTATGGAAGGTCGCAAAGCATTAATACTATCACAGTATAATTTGTTAAAAACTCAGCAAAGGCTCAAGTTAATATAAGAAATTCTGTCTGGTAGACTTTTTGTCCACTGTAAATGCTTTCCACTCCCTTCTAGCTCTCTAATGTGGCTCAGCCTGGTACTCTAGTCTCCTTTGATGTGTGAAATCGTTGTTATAAAGGCAAGAGAGGTTTTTATTTGTTACTTTTTCTATAAAGGACACTGGAACATTTTTAGAAAGACAAATCTCTGTAAAGTATGCATATGATTTCCTTGGATGATAATTTTATATCTTTTCTTTTTAATAACTAGTATTGGAGAATTTTATTTTTGACTTAAAACAGATTATAGTCATGGCCTGTGACATGTAATTTTGTATATTTCCAAAGGTGTGAGGTTGTGTCTGTGGTCACTACTTTGCATGACTGGCATGGAATTGTAATAGGCACACTTTTATTAACTTAAATAAAAGCTAATCCAAATGTATTAGGATGGCTGTGCCTTTGACATATAGCCCACATACAGTATTTAAGTTAATGTTAGTGAATCCCTAGAACAGACAGCAGGGATGACATCATTTATATGTATTGTGTTCAAATTCAAGACTCTTAAGTCTTCAGTGGAAACAGCAGACCTCAAGAAAGATATACTTCTTGAAAGATCAGAATGAGATTTTTGAACTTAAAGATTAGGATTTCATGTTTTTCCTGGTGAAATGGAGGAAAGGGAGAATTTTTGACAATGCCTAAAATTTGAAACTTTGTATTAAAAATAAGTAATGTGTAAAACAAACCCTCCTATTTCCCTCCTGTGCATGGTTGTAGAGGGAACCTCCGTTCCCTATCAAACTTGTTATAGGTAGATGAGTTCAGTCCTTGGCAAATGATGTGCAAACGTGAGTCTCATTTCCTTTTTATTTATGTGTTGTTAGAGATGGGGCCTCACTCTGTTACCTAGGCTGGAGTGCAGTGGTACAACCACAGCTTACTATAGCCTTGAACCCCTGGGCTCAAGGGACAACAGGTGTGCACCACCACGTCTGGCTAATCTTTTTCTTTTTTAGGGATAGTATTCTGTGTTGCCCAGGCTGCTCCTGAACTCTTAGCCTCAAACGATCTTCTTGCCTCATTTTCCTGAGTAGCTGGGATTCTAGGTGTAAGCCATTGCATTTGGCACTTCTTATTTTGATCAAAATAGTTGGTTTTATGTGTTTTCTGAATCTCTGTGTATTGAAATGAATTTGTCCTCAAGAGATGGGAGAAAGGAGAACTACATTCACTAGGTTCAATTGGATTTAGTGGACTGAGTTAGATTATCGATGAGCTCAATTCATAGCTGAATAGTTGGTTAGTTTTAAAAGATTTCTAGGAGATCAAATAACTTTTTTCCTTTGATTCCACGTAGCATAGATAAAGTATTGCTGTGAAGTGGAGTAACTACTTGAAATTCTGAAGCATGTGTGTTCCAGGAAAGCACATAGATAAGTTGAGGACTTATTATATTACCCTAACATCAGAAAATTGCAGCATTTGGTAATTTTTATATGTAAAAAGTTAAGTGAATTAGGAAACCAAGAAAAGAAGGGAGGGTGAGAAAGCCATACCTTATGGTTAAATGAAACATAACCTCTCTATTTCTCAGGGCTTAGTTGTTATATGTCTTAGGATTGATTTTCACCAAGGTTCAACTAGAATTTGGTGGAAAGAAAGCGAAACATAACTCAGGGGGCTGAGGCAGGTGATTCGCTTGAGCCCAAGAGTTTCAAGTAGCCGTGAGCTATGATGAGTAGCCTGGGCAAGAGAGCAAGACCGTGTCTCAAAAAAAAACCCAAAGCAAAACAAAAACCTATAGGCCCAGAAAAATGAAACAGAAGAGAAAGTCAATAGTGGATTGATACTTCATTTTTTATTTTGTGATTTTTTTTAGAAACAGAGTCTCACTCTGACACCCAGTGGAATCATCTTCAACTCTTGGGCTCAAGTGATTCTCCTGCCTCGGCCTCCTAAGTAGCTGGGAGTATAGCCACATACCACTATACTTGGCTAACTTTAAAATTTTTTTGTTGAGACAGAGTCTGGCTTTGTTGCCCAGGCGGATCTGAGGCTCCTAGCCTGAAGGAATCTTCCTGCCTAAGCCTCTCAAAATCCTGGAATTACAGGTCTGAGCAACCTGGCCATGTTTTTAATAGCTTAATAAATAAGGCCAGTTAGTGTGGGTGTTTTAGAATATCTTTTGATATAACAACACTTTTATTGGAATCTCTAAATTTAAGCATTTCACTATCTTTATTCACACTTGAAACATTCCGAATGTCATTTGAAAATTACTGCTTATCCCCTTAAAAAATAAATATTGTTACAAATTAAAGTAAGGCCAGATGTGGTGGCTCATGCCACCTAGCACTTTGGGAGGTTGAGGCAGGAGGATTGCTTGAACTCAAGAGTTTGAGACCAGACTGAGCAAGAGCAAGAGCAAGATCCCATCTCTTATTAAAAACAAAAAATTGGCTGTGTGTGGCGATGTGCACTTATATAGTCCCTGCTACTCAGGAGGCTCAAGCAGGAGGATCACTTAAGCTCAGGAGTTTGAGGCTGCAGTGAGCTATGACGATGCCATTGGGTTCTAGCCTGGGTGATAAAACGAGACCCTTTCTCAAAAAAAAAAAAAAAAAAACCCAAAGCAACCCTCCCAAACACACACACACACAAAAGGAAACAAATAGGAAGTTAACTTACAGGGTGGAAGGACTGGGAAAATTGCTAGAGACTGTAATTTCCAGGAGCACGGTAGTAAGGGCAGGCAGTTGGTTTCCTTTGCCCACAGCAGAGCATGGGGCAGGATCAGCCTTACGGGACAGCACTTTTGGCGTTTGCCCCCCTTCTGCATTGCTTCCTTTGTCCATGTTTCTCTTCCTACCTCTGTGAGTTTGTTTCCTTGTGAGTCTTAATTTCATTTACTCTTTCCGGGGGTTAGTTCTTCTTTTTGTCCATCTACATTTTCCATTCTGTTTTTATTCCTTCTCTGTTGGTCCTTAATTTTATGTACCAGCTCCCTCCAACCCAATTATTTTCTCTTCTTCTCTGGACTTTTTCTGTCTCTTGTTAGTAAGTCTTTCACTGTCTCTCCTTTTATTCTTTTCTCTCTCTCTCTTACTGTCTCCATTCCCCACTCTTTTCTCTCTCAGTGTCTTCCTCTGTTGCCTAGTACAGTGGCATTGTCATGGTTCTCTGTAACCTCAAGTTTCTGGGCTCAAATGATCCTTCTACCTCAGCCTCCCATAGCCAGGACTACAAGTGTCTGTTACCATGCCTAATTTCTTTATATTGCCTGGGCTGGTCTTGAACTCCTGGCCTCAAACACTACTCCCACCTTAACCTCCCAAAGATTATAGGCAAGAGCCACTGTGCCTATCTCCATTTTTACTTAGATGACTCTTAGTGTGAATTTTTTTCAACCCTTGGGTATATGGCTTGTGGTAGGAAAATTTTACTTTACTTAAAAATATAAAGTTTGGGCTCGGCGCCTATAGCTCAACCGGCTAAGGCGCCAGCCACGTACACCTAAGGTGGCGGGTTCGAATCCCCAG